ACCACCACGGCCATCCTGGCTGCACTGGCCAGCCCCCGGGAGAAGCTGTCCAGTGCCTTCCAGGTGTGCCTGGGAGAATAGCCCTGCCAGAGAGAAGAGCAGGATGGGACTGGGGTGTGGCAATGACCCAGGGTGGGACAATGTGTAACAAATTTTTGACTGTTGACTAGGGGCCACCTGCTATGCTAGGCTCTGCGGCAACCATATACACAACCCTCAGGACCTTGGTGTCTACCAGGAAGATGTGACTCAAAGTCACACCAATAAACAGCGGGTGGGATGTGCATTCTGAGGAAGGGGTAGTGTAAGAGGGAGTCTGGCCCAGTCTGGGGGATCAAGGATGAGTAGGGGGACATGGCAGAGGGGTGGCTGTTCTAGGAGCAAAGGAGTAATGACAAGCCAGGGGCTGACATAGGGGTATGGGCCCATCAGGACGCCAAAGCTGCTGAGCCAGAAACTAGGAGGAATCTTTTTTTTTTTTTAATGTTTTTTATTGATTTCAGAGGGAGAGGAAGGGAGAGGGAGAGAGAGAAACATCAATGATGAGTCAGTCATTGAAAGGCTGCCTCCTGCACGCCTCCTACTGGAGATGGAGCCCACAACCTGAGCATGTGCCCTGACTGGGAATCAAACTATGGCCTCCTGGTTTATAGGTCGATGCTCAACCACTGAGCCACTCTGGCCAGGCAGGAGGAATCTTTTAGCTAGTGGATTTGAACAGGATCTGCTGGGGAATTCCTGGGAGAGGGGTTTGTGGGGGAGATGTGGAGAGTTCAGGGCAGTGGTTATTTGCCAACTGACCCAGAAGTGTTTCAGTATTTTATCGGGGACACGTCAACCCTAGTGGTGACTTTCCTGCTGCCCAGATTAGGCCGGGACCCTATTATTTGTTTCCACTGTCCTGACTCGGGAATGGGCCTGTGCCCACCTCAGCTCCTTCACCCTCTTCTCTGCAGATCGCCCTCTGCCACTTCTTCTTCAACATCTCAGGCATCCTGCTGTGGTACCCAGTGCCCTGCACACGCCTGCCCATCCGGATGGCCAAGGCACTAGGCAAACGCACTGCCAAGTACCGCTGGTTTGCAGTCCTCTACCTCCTGCTGTGCTTTCTCTTGCTGCCCTCACTGGTGTTTGGCATCTCCATGGCAGGCTGGCAGGCCATGGTAGGTGTGGGCGCACCCTTCGTCGCCCTGCTGGCCTTCGTGGTGCTCATTAGCATCCTACAGAGTCGCAGCCCCCGGCACCTACCCAAGTGGCTGCAGACATGGGACTTCCTGCCCCGATGGATGCACTCCCTACAGCCCCTGGACCACCTCATCACCCGTGTCACCCTGTGCTGTGCCAGGCCCGAGCCCCGCTCGCCCCCGCTGGCCCCCAGGGTCTTCCTGGAGGAGCTGCCCCCTGCCACGCCCTCTCCCCGCCTTGCCCTGCCTGCTCGCCACAATGCCACCCACCTCTAGCCTTTGGCCCAGACTGCCACCTGGGGCTGGGAAGGACCTGTGCCTGGTGCCCGCCATGGAAGGGCAGAGGGGTGTGTGTCTGTGTACTCTGGGCATGCTCCTGTCCTTGTGCAGATGCCCAGAGGTCTGAGCTGTGTGACTGAGAGTTGGTGTGTGAGCCTGTGTCAGCCTGCACGTGTGTACATCATGGTGCACCTGTGGGGTCTCTATGCAGGCTGCAGGGTACCTGGGTATGACTTCCAGTCCTTTGTACATTGTTTGGAGTCTTCAGTTTGTGTTCTTGTGTCCACACAACTCCAACTGGGCTGGGTGGGAATAATGGTGGGTCTAAGTATGCGACTTGCAGCTGTTTGCTCATGCACAGATGTGGTCACTGGCTGAATTCTCACCCCCTTCCTGCCACTTTCCTTCCTCCACAATACCATTCTCCCCACTCTCACCCAGCTTTCTGCATCACCACTACAACCCCCTTTCCCAACACTGCCTGATTTTTAAAAATTTTAAAAAAGAAATTAAACTTTCATTATGCATTTGAAAATCTGTTTGCTCTCATTTTGGGGGAGGAGAGACCATAGTTTGGTGTTCAGCAGCACTATCTCCCCTCCCAAAGACAGCCTGCTGTGCCCTGGAAGAGCCAGCCTGTAAACTCACTCCAACAGTCTTCCTGGCCCTGCCTTAAAGAGTCTAATCAACAGCTCAGACTCTCTGAAAGCCCCCCAAGGCCTAGGGGCCACCCCCAAGGCAAATGTTAGCAGAGCTCTCTGCACCTCCATCCCCCAATCCTCTGGTTTCTCCTTTGCCTCTGGACACACCTACCTCACTGACTCCCTCCCTCCCTCTTTCTGGCATGAGATCAATTCTCCACAAAACAAGTGACATATGGGGCTTATCATGGCCACTGAGGGAGGGGATCAGAAGATTGGAGATGGACAAGAGAAGCCATGCCCTGTGTCCCAGCATAAAGGGGGCAGGGACCAGCCACCCTTCCTCCTCCTACCTTTGTCCATCTTTGACAACAAACCATGCCTTCATTTAAAACCACTCAAGTTTTCAATTCCTCCTCCTCCATAGCCTTCCCCCCACCCTAACTGAGGCCTACAGAGGGAGGGTCAAGTGGTGGGAGGTGCCAAAGTTTCTCCCTCTAGTCCAGGGATATCTCTGGAGCCTTTGGACCCCAAGGGGACTGGAAGGCTGTAGGGCCCAGACCCAGTTGTGATTGTCTTGGAAACATTCCTCCACTCCACCCCCACTGAGGTATGTGGGGGAGATGCAAGGACCTGGGAGCCCCAGAGATGCTCCCCAAGCTACCAGCCATACCCTGTCAACTACTCACAACCCCTGCTAGTACTTCCTCCTGCTAAGTGGAGGGGTGAGAAGTACACTGACCTCCAGCTTGGGGGGGGGGGGAATAGGAAGGTGGGGCGGAGACTCCCTTACAGTTCATCCTGCACAGCTGTGGGAGTTTTGCGGCAAAGGATGCTCAGATTTGAGCTAGAGGGTTTGAGAAGGCTGATCCCGGGGACTCTTGCTCAGCTGCGGTGTCGCTAGGACCCTGGGAAGTCTCCAAGGCCCAGACCCCTGACTCTGGCCTGGGGAGTCAGGTCAGAGGCCTCTGCAGGCCACCCATGGGAGGGCCGGGTCTAGGGCACAGGAGGACTCATAATCCCAACCCCACCAGGTAATCCTTTTGCAAGGACCTTCCAGGAAACCAGTGTCCTCCTCAGCAACTCTTGCCCTACCCCCCATGCAACCTGAGGATGAGTCTGCCATGCCCAGGTCTGAGTTTATTTTGGCTCCGCTGCCACCAGGCCGTTCTGCTAGGTGCCCCGAGTGCGCAGCCAGTGGATCAGCTCGTGCGTCTTCTTGTTGAGGATGCCCCCGTGCACGCCCCGTCGGCCCATGAGCACGAGAAGCGCGCGCGGCGCGTGGCCCACGCAGATGGCACGCCCGTCCAGCCCCTTGGTGCGCGCGTCTAGCACCCCATCGCCCTCGGCCAGCAGGTGGTCTCGGATGACGTAGCAGCGGCGGCCTGCCAGGCTCAGGCCTTCCTGCAGGAAGGTGCACTGGTCGCGCCCCGTGAGCACGCCCACCTCCTGCGGTGAGATGGCGGCCAGCAGGCCCCCGGGCCGCGATGCCCACACGCACAGATTGTCCGAGTGGCCCACGATGGCCACGTCGTCGATGCGCTGGTCCTGCAGCACCGCACTGATGTAGCCTTTCCACTCGCCCATTCTGGCTCAGGGTGTGTCCTTCGCCTTGCGCTTTCGAGGGATGCGGAGCAGCTTCCGCCCGAACCGCTAGGCGCTGTGACGCGTGTGAGCGCGGGATTGTGACGGTGAGGCCCGCAGGTCACAGGCCCGCTACCTCCTGCTGGAGAATGGGGGCGGGGGGGGGAGTATCTTTCACCCGATGGTGTTAGAATTTAGCCTGAAGGAAGGGAGAGCATGAGAGTCAAAATAATCCTGGAAAACCAACGTAGATGGTGCATCAAGCACAGTACACATGGGTTTAAAAACAAAAAGATGCCACATCTGGACAGTCGTGGCATCAACTCTCTGCCTGGTCCCCAGAACATGGTTCTCAGATGTTAGGAGCACCAGAATCACCTGGGAAAGCTGTTAAAACAGATTGTTAGGCCCCAACTCAGAGTTTCTGATTCAGCAGCAAGGCGTTTACCCTGCCAATAGCATTTCTAGCAAGTCCCGTGGCACCGCCCCGCTGCTGGTCCAAGGACCACACTTGGAGACCCCGCTGCCCTAGGACTGGTTGGGCGGAGGGAGGGACTTCCAGTCAGTCCTCAGCCCTAAGGCTCCACACCAGTTTTAAGGTTAAGCGTTTCTAACTATAATTCTCAACTCTGGCTGCACATGTAATCACCTGGAGAGCTTTTAAAGCTTGCCACTGCCCCTGCCCCATCCCTAGAGAGATGTGATTTAATTGATCTGAGGTGGATCTTGGGCATAGACTTTTTTATTTTAAATCCTCACTGGAGAATATTTTTCCGGCGCGCACCCCCACCGGGCGGGGATCGAGCCTGCAACGAAAGTGCGTGCCCTTGGCCGGAACAGAACCCGGACCCTTCAGTCCGAGGGCCGGCGCTCTAACCGCTGAGCAAACCGGCTAGGGTGGGCATAGATTCTGATGTACAGTGGAGGCTGAGAATGTCTCCATAAGCTTAAAATATTAATGTTTCACACAAGGAATGATGTATGGAGTCATTCTGCACAGGGCTCGGCACCCCCAGCTCATTAAACATCAGCTGGACATGATCTAAATTTTGCATAAGATCTGAACAGATCCTGTTCTCTAAGGGCTGTGGAGAAGCTGTGCCCTGGTTTACAGCCTCGGCGTTTCTCAGCGGGACCCCTGAATAGCTGTGCCTCTCAAGCAAGCATTTTCCAAAAGCACTTTATTGAGTGTTTACGCCACGCCCGGCGCGGGGTTGGCGGTGCTGGAACGTGATCCTTGCCGTCCAGGATCGTGTCCAGCCATCCTTCCATCTCATAATCGCCAAGGAGGCAAAGACGAGTTCCTGGGCGGTCAGAAAGCCATGTGCTCCCGGATCCAAGGCAGGTAGCTGGCCACGTCGGTGTACACACCCGGCTTGTTGCGGTCGCCGCAACCCGAGCCCCAGCTGATGACGCCTCGCAGGATGAGCGGGCGCCCTGCGGCCTGATCCTCACACACCAACGGACCCCCAGAGTCACCCTGGATGCAGCACACGCGGCTCAGCGCCCTCGGCCTGGGGCCTGCCCTTGACTGGGTGGGGCCGGGGCGCAAAGCAGGCGCGCGGGCTCACCTGGCACGCGTCGGTGCCGCCCTCGGGGAAACCCGCGCAGAGCATGCCGGGGGCGAAGGCGGTGCCGTGCGTCTCCGGGGCGGAGCAGCGCTCGGGCGGGATGAGCGGCACCCGCGCCTCCTGCAGGAAGCTGGCGTATTCCTCCGCCCCTGTGAACCAACGACGTTTTCATCCCGACTCCGCTCGCCGCCTGGACGGTGGAACTGGCTGCGCCAGGCTCTTCCAGACCCAATGATCACCTGCCTCCCTCGCAACAAGCCCGTGAGGGAGGGAGCTGCCGGTAACCCCATTTCATAGACAGGAAAACTGAGGACCGAGACGGGGCGGGATGGGAATGGGCGCGGCAGAGCAGGACTGCTTCGGAAGCCCACCCCTCTTGCCAGCCAGCATCTCAGAGCCTGAACTACCCGCCCCGCTGGGGCGCAGGGCCCGTGCCCTCGTTAGCCTGGCAACCCAGCGCTCAGTGGGAACCAAGAGAAAGTGTGATTCTCCCCGTATACTCCTCAGGAGTTTGCCCCCCCCC